CAAACTTAATATTTCTAATTTATTAATTAATTATTCCTCAGATTTATTTTCCCATTGCTTTACAATGAGAAAACATATAAGAAGTTAAAAATTTTTTAAGTTAAAGAAGAATTCGATCCAGAAAATTTCATGTGGTAAATATTAATGCATTTCATAATAACATTTTCTGTAAACAGTTTATTATTACATTTATGTCATCATGAGCTATCTAAATTTGTAATACCAAAGATTTGTCTTTGCTTTAAAAAACTGCTAAATGAGTTTCTTGTTCCTAATTAAGGTTTAGATTTTATAGATATAGCTATTAGTCTCATAAAAAAATAATTTTATCCCTGTTTCAATTAAATAGTTCTACTGCTAAATATTTAAAAGTAAATAAGTAATTAAGAATTTTTCAAAAGTTTAATATTTTGTGAAGGTCCTTGTTTGGAGTTGCATATAAACAAAATATTTTTTGCACATACACACATACATATACAGGGTGTTTCATAGATCATGGGACAAATTTGGAGGGGTGGTGGAGCATACTAAAACATGCATTTTTTGTATAGGAATGTAGGGTCTAAAGTGACGTGTTAAGGCAGGAATACAAAAAACGACATGAGAGGAAAATGTGTTTATGTACAGAATCAACACAAAGTGCTTCTTTTCAGCAATACAGGTGACAGGTGACGGAGGACGGGGACGCCTGATGTTTAACAGAGGTAAACAGGCATATGTCCCGCGCCCTCCCCTATCTAGTGGCAGCAACTCCCAGGAGCCTCATGAGGCCCCCTTGGGAGTTTATTGAAGAATTTTACGTAATTGTACATGGCCATACAGAAGCGTCTTAGGAATACATTAGTTTTGATCGATAGGCGGATGATTTGTTACATCTTGGTTTTTAGACACTGTTAGACACTATTACAGCATATACATACACATACAAGTACATACAATTGCACATATAAAGATACATACAAAACACTTGTAAAACACATATAAAAGCACATATATAACACATATAAAACATGTAAGCACATTATATAAAAATAGAAATTAGATACTAGTTTGCACACACTTATACAAGTAAAACACATACTTATAATGAAACATATTTAAGCTAATATATAGTATACACTTACACTAAAGACACATTTAGATCATTTAGACACATTTAGATCACATATCACATGTAAAATGCGCAAATAAACATACAGAAAGCATGCAGGCACACTGTAGAATATTAAATTTTGTTATTTCAGCATACAGTTTTCAGCAATACAGTATTCACAATAAATGTTCAAAAAAGGGAACACTAACAGCAATAGGAACTACATCTGTGATTGGCTGGCAATGCAGTGGTAGAGGGCGCTAGTGATCCAGACAAACCACAATCCGATGCGAATCATTCACAACTCTGATGTCAAGCGTAATGGGTGAGTTTATGCACAGGGAAAAACCAGACATGCATCTCATGTATGGTGCTGCTAATGGGAATGGCAGAGCGGGACTACGGTTGTACCAGGAACAGTTTCCGAACACGCGTATGCCAAAGCACAGAGTGTTCGAGAGGTTCGACACAATGTTCTCTGTGTGAAAACAGGTCATTTGAAGCCACCTCTGACACTAGGCGTGGAAGACGAAGTGCCCGATAACCTTGCATTGAAGAATCCATCTTGAACATTATGCATGAATCACCTCAGACAAGTACAAGAGCTACTGCACGTCGTCTGCAGCTAAGTCACTCCACCGTTTGGAGAGTATTGCGTGAAAATGGTTTTCACCCATACCATTTGCAGAGAGTCCAAGCCTTGCAAGAGACAGATTACCCTCTTTGAGTTCATTTCTGTCATTGGTTCTTGCAGCAGTGTGCAGCGCAGGATTTCCCATCGAATGTGCTATTCATGGATGAGGCAACTTTCTCACAGGATGTCATCTTCAATAGCCACAACATGCACGTGTGTGCAACTCATAAGCCACTCAGTACACATCCACATGCATTCCAAACCCACTTCTCCGTGAATGTGTGGATGGGTATTGTTAATGACTACCTCATAGGCCCATACCTCTCACTTGCACGTACAAATGGCTTATGTTATCATATTTTTCTGCAAGAGGGGCTACCGGAATTGCTGCAGGATGTTCCGGCTGTTGTTTGTGATTGCATGTGGTTCCAGCATGATGGACCAGCCCATAACCCCGGTGCGGGTCCGCAATTACTTAGATAGGACATTTCCGGGACGATGGATAGCAACACATCTAGGTAAAGATGCAAAGAGTGTGCCGATTGTCCCTTGAAAGATAGATGTCCATTCCCTGGTAACCATTTGTCCCAGTTTGTCTTGAAGCATATAAGCATTCTGTATCGCTCTGCCTGCATAGGGAGAAATCCATGCCCCCTTATGATTGGACATATACAGTCAAAAGTCGTTAATTCGGACACCCATAATCCGGAATGATCTATAATCCGGACATCAAAGCTACAATCTTTCTGCGCATGCGTCGCGCGTAATACCTTTACCGCTGCGAATTTGCGTGTGCGCGTGCGCAAAATACGTTTACGAATGCGCGTTTAATGTGTAACGGACGGGATAAGCTAAGCTAAAATAATCTAATTATCTATTTCAGTTAATGTTGCAGATTGCGTTGTTCCTTAATCTTCGAATTGGATCCGGATTATTATTTTTTGCAGACTGTTAGAGCAATTTTATAAAAGTAAGCTTGAACTTTCGATTATGTCAAATAGAATTTCCGATATATATTTACTAATATGTAAAGGATATACAAAGCGAAAGTATCTTTCGGAATCCATTAAACAAAAAAATGGAATTGCTGCAAAAAATGGATAAAGGCATATTCTTTGTTTATATAAACTTTAACGTTTGTTTATCTAAACTTTGTTTATCTTTAACGCGGCAGCCGCGTGCAATGAATTGGAAGTTGATTTGTCAGCACTATCCTTATCTTAGGGCAGATGTTTTTATTTTATTTGGCTTATAATTGATTACTCAATGTAGTATTTCATCTCGATGTACTCCGTCTTTGATATGATTTAAATCAAATGCCTCGTCATTATAATTCGCTTCCGATAGCGAAGAAAGTGACATAGGTTATTGAAAACAAAAAAATTTCGATTGACAAATTGGTCGGTATTCTCGACACAGCAATTATAGGACTTGAACAGCGGAACTTTGTAACTAAACAAGAAATTATGTCTGTTTAATAAAACTAAAGAGAAAGTATTATCGCATAAAAAACGAAGCAACTGAAACAACTTACATTGAAGGAAATGTTTAATAAAGTAAACAAATAAATATTAAGCTTTTTTTTTTTTTTTTGTAAATTTTGATACCCTTTAGATCATAATTGTTCTTTATTTCGTAAATTACGGTTTCATATTTTTAATTTTAGAATTTCCGCATACCATCTTACGAGATTTAAACTGATGATCTATAATCCGGAAAAATCGATAATCCGGAATCGCCGAAGTCCCGACGAGTCCGGATTAACGACTTTTGACTGTATTCCGATGGCATCATTTTCTCTTACCGTAATGACGTTTAGCCAGGATTCTTACGGTTTTGTTTTCATTGAATGATGTGAATGAGTGACATGGAAGGGTGAAAATTATCATTTGTTTTCTTTGAAATGAAAAAATTTAGCTGCAGCATACTGCAGATGGATTCCTGTTTCATAGATTAAAATAAAATTATGAAATCTTTTACAGATGCTGTTAACATCAGAAGCAATCTTAGCAGAAGCACTTAGATTATATAAACAGCCAAGTTCCTGAATTTAGTGCAAAAACCAAAACATGACGATCTCAATCCAACTGTAAAGGCATTGTGTGCTAGTAAGTATATTATTATTATTGCAATTTTGTTGCATTCTGTTCTTTTCACATTACAGAAAATATTGCAAATTTTAAGTTATTTCCATGTTATTTCTAATATTCTGTTGCCTTAAATGAAAGAAAAAGTGCATTCAGTACTGTTGCTGAATTTAATGCACTTTTATAAGAAAAGAAACTTCCTTATCCGACAAACATTATTTTTATGCAAAGGTACAAAAGAAACAAAATTTAAAAATTTAAAAAATGGGCATTATTCATAAAGTAATATTATGCACTTTAAAATACATATCTCTGTTTCTCTGTTCCAAATCTATGCTAGTTTAACTTCAAAAATAAATTTTACTTTTTCAGATGAATAAAAAATATTGTGAATTTGCTGTTCACTGTATTAGCGCCCAACGTCATTTTTGCTATTTCTGAAAACTGACTTGTCTCATATTTTCAGAGATTGCATTTGCAGAAAATGTATATATAATGAACATGAAATAATCTATCTATCTACATATATATATATAAGTGAAATACCATTGACTCATCATGATATCTTTGAAACTATACACAACTGACTTGAAATTTTGCATAGTAGATGTAGACGCGCATTAAGAACGGATTTTATGTAAATCCTGTCCAAAAATGGATTTTTGTTATAAAATAGAAGTTTCTCATACATTTGGTTTTCAAATTTAAGTTCAGAAGTTTCTTTTACTGTTGCCAAAACTAGACATGAAATACAATGTTGCTAATGAATGCATTTTCCTTTAAAATTATTAAATTGGTAAATAACTTGCATCTATCCAATAAATACAAACAACATTTAAATGATAAGGTTAATAATAATATTTATATTTAACTGTTATCATAAGTTTCATGAAAATAAATGTTATTATTAAGAGAAATAAATTATTACGATTGTAGAGTCATTAGGTTATTTTTTGGTAGAGTCATCATTATCATTAGGTAGAGTCATTAGGTCACAGGAGAAGTGAAATATGAGCAATGCCTTCACCGGGAATCGAACCACGGACCTCTGGAATACGCACCCAGCGTGCTGACCACTACACCACGAAGGCATGCTAAGAAGGCAGAAGAAATACCTTTTATGATGAAAAATAAAAATGTTGTTGTTATTTATAAAAATTGCCATACATAAAAAATGAAGGACAAATAATTATAATTGATTACAAAATTTGATAACAAGGATAATAAAAAGATAACATTTGTTTTCATGAAACTTATAACAGTTAAATATATATAAACCTTAGTTTTATGTTGGCAATTTTTTGCTGTGTATGCCTATAGGGGATCCCGCCACATTAAATAATGGGGATGCATCCCAATACATGGTACTTCATGGATGATGGAGAAATCTGTGCATGACAGATTCACTGACAGGCACCATATTTCCCGACGTTAAATTTTAAAATAATTATATTACTTATCGTTTCGAAATGAGACATTTCATCCATATAAGAAGTCTAGGTTTTAATTAAATTAGATAGCGTGCTCAGCAAAGTGGGCGGGTATGAGCTAGTGAATTAATAATCACAATAAATTTAATATGAAAGGTTTTAAATTAAGAATACATTTGTTAAAAATCTCTGCACTTAATATTAATACACATTTACATAGTTAGCAGAAGATATAATACATTTTCTCTCCAGAGGGAAAAAAATCACTATATTCATCACACTACAATGTTATAAGAAGTGTAATCTCGTAGCAGCAAAAATACATTGGACATAATATTATTTACGGTATTGCTATCAACACGTAGACAAATGGTATGGAGGTGTACACTCAAGCCCAAGCAAAGTGTTCCTAAGCATAGAGTAAATGATGTCTTCAAAACCTATACACAATCACTAGGAGGGATTTTTCCCTATATGCGTGGCACAATACAGAATGCTTATATGTTGCCAGGGAAGCATCTGGGTACCCTGCAGGGCATGTCGGCTGAAAAATATCATGTGGAGTCGGGAGTTATCCAGCTGGCAAATGATATTCAGCACCACCTGAAGGAAAGGTATGTTCCACGATAGAGCACATCAACCACATGTTGCACATTGGGCAACTCCATACTGCCAACAATAGACTAATGGTGATCTGCTCTCATAGGCGATGATATGCAATGTGGTATTCCAGAGTCGCGGCCAGATTGCACCTGTCTCGACATTGCGGTCAGACTTGTAAATACTGACTGTCATTGCTTAAACAAAAGCATGACTCATTGGAAAATACATTATGCCATTCCAAAGTCTATATGCCGCTATCCCCAAACCATCACAAACAGAAGCACCTGTGCACTTGGATCAAAGGCAGCCTTCTTAATGGATATTAAGTGTGTAGGCCATAAGTTGCAAATCAGCAAATAATGGCACTCATCAATATGGGAGCATCAACAGTATCTTGCAGGTGCTGCAAAATATCAAAAGAAGTGGCCACCAAGACGACCACTGCATGTGTGCAGGTGCATTGGTCCACATATGCTGATGTCACTCTGGTAGCACCCCCACCCCTGGAACGTGCTACATTCCCTTCTTTCAACCATCTTCCCAACAGCTGGTGCAGCACAGATGCATATAGATGCCTGTCTGCTGTGATTCAGCACAGGGACAAATCTGCTCTTCTCAGTCTGATGACCACACCCCCCCCCCCCCCGATGTGCTCGTCTGCGTAAGGAAATGCCTCAGTTATCAGCATTCTCCATACTAATACTTCCTCTGTGGTAGGAAAAAAATTTGCAAAATGATTACTCTGACCAATAGAGCAGAGCAACTATTGTCAACTTTGCAGAATTTGCTTAGTTCTTGCTTCACCTGTGTGAGATTGCAATGCATTTTGCATCATCTGTAATACTCAACGCACTGTGTCTACTTTACAATTTGCATATTCTTTGAAGTTTACACCCACAGTGTTGCAGTTTAAATGTTTACAGTATATTAATTGTAAATGTAAATAATATTAAAGTTATGAATCAGCATTATTGATGATGACATGGAATATGTTACCTGAATCATAACAAATAATTTTATGTAGTTTCAGAAATCATAATATTTAAGGTGCACACTGAAAAGCTAATTTCATTTCTACAATCTTACAAATAATGACTTTGGGAAAAAATTCTTACTTCAGCTAAAGCTACTTTTTTCCCCCATTTTTTAATACTTTCCTTGAGAGCTGCATTTTCTTTCTTTAGAGAAGCATAATCAATTACCTCTGGTAAGTTGTGACGTCGAGGGTCTAGTTTTATCTTTTGCATAGTTGCTTCTAGTTCCTTAATTTTCTACATGAAACGAAATAAAAATAAATGAATTTGGGAAAAAGTAAAAAGATAATAAAATTCCTACAGGATTCTTTAAAACAGTTATCAAAACACTAATTAAACCTTGTAAAATATAAATTATAAAATAACTGCAGAAAATTTACATGCATGATTTATATGTTATTCGATTCATTTTGACTAATATCATAAGCCATCAAAAGTAACTTGTATACAGCACTATGCATAAATTGAATTATTACTTGAGCAAATATCTAGCAAAAAATGCTGTATATATTGCTTTTCATAATTCATCAAACGATGTCATTTAACACTAATAATGGATAAGCATTATATCCCAGCACAATCATCAAGACCCTTGTAAAAAATGCATTAAATAAATAAGCAGAGCATGCTGTTCTCACACCTTGGAAATAAAAAATTAAGATGATCAGCTTTACCATAACACTGAAACATATGTTTATGTCACATAACTGTCAATTTTTTAAAATTCAGACATTACATGAATCATGGGATTGTGAAATTGACTTTTGAAAATAATATTTAATATATCTAAAAAAAATCACTTTATAGTGCAATACATTAAAACATAATGTACTGTAAATGTACTGTGCAATCTGAATGTCAGATGTGCAAGATTAAATAATTTTAAATGAAATTTAAGCACATTTTATAGAATAATCCTCCATTTTCTTTGATTTTGCATCCAAATCCTTTGTAGTTCAGCTTTGCAGCTGTAATATACTAAAAAAGAATAATATCGCTTTTTCTTTTCCAATAAATGTTATTTTGGGATCATCAGCCTCCTAACAAATAGAAAAAATATAAATAATTGATGAAAATTCAAATTAGCGAATTTGATGTCATTCTTTTTGTTTAAATTCAGCAAATTTTATCAACAAAATTAAATAAATTTCGATCTGTCTATTGAAAACGTTTAACTTCGAAAAATGCTATATATATATGTGTGTGTGCATAAGATATAACAAAATATGATAGCTGTTTCAAAAAAATAATTTGGCGACCTCAAAATTAACATTCTAAATTTGGTGATCTGCCCCTAAATTCATCTCTTCTCACAGGTTCCAGATTTTTCTATCTTACATAACATTTTATGGCAGATGCCTCTTGTCCAATCAAATTAATTGTAAGCCAAAACCCTGAACTGAAACTTTCCCACTCCCAACCTTTTCCGCATAAGCTCTCCTGCCGGCAAGATGCTTTTTATGTATGCTGTTGCCGCTTACTTGCTTAAAACATCATCGTACTTCAAAATGCAACTTACTGTATTCAAATATAATTAGGAAACATTTTGTGTGAAAAAGGATGATTTGATATACATAAAAAAATACAGATTGTGATTTTTCAAGATACGTTGTGCTAAATTGCGTCATCATGCTTTACACTCTGCAACCTGCAACCCACTATGATATTCTCGGTCACCTAAGCAGTATCTAAGCTGTAAAAAGTTCCACTGTTTTCATCTATGCTATTTTAAAATCATTACAGTTTGATAAAAACTTCAGTTTTGCTCTTTACTGTGCTAAGATGTAATTGCACTGGCTTGCTTTCTATCTCAACAATATCAAAAATGTAAATCTTCTGTAGAAAGGCAGGACTGGAGTGCCAAGTGATTATGAATACAAATATCAATCGAAAAAAAAAATGGAATTAAAATCGCCTCGACTTCCAAGTTCTTTAGATATTACAAAGTTAACATTATTAGCATACTACGCAATCAAAATTCTTCTTCAATATGGATCTAAGCAAGCATCGACACTTCTCCGGCTTTTCCTTGTGCTCTTATATTACTATACATATATTGTTACAGTGTATGAATACATTTTTTAAAATATGGATTATATGATTTAGCAGTGTCCAAATGATGAACAGTTACAATTAAATATTTTCAGGACAAAGATTTCATCTGGGAAACCAAAAAATGAAATTATATCTCACAACTACTAAAGTACTGAAATTGTGCTACAACAAAAGTTTGCACAGTAGGAAAAAAATGTTGACAGCATGGATACTGGTTCAGAGTTTGTGCATTCTTTTTCTGTCAATTATTTGGTTTGCTTATCTCTAATATAAAGAGCTCATGTTGGTAGAATTCCATACACTGCAACTAAGACTGAATTATATAATAACTGCTGACTAGGATAATTATGTGTGTTTATATCTATGATTTTCTACATTGACTTCATTCATTTTTGGTATTTACTTTGGATTTAATTAAACAGTGAACTTTTATGAAGCTGTGTACATTGTTAGGGTTGCCATTCCTACCTCTAATTAGATTTTATCCCAATATTTATATTTGGCACTAAGTTTTCTGGTTAAATTTGAAACACAAATATCTTATGTTTTATCAAAATGCAAAACATTGCTTTTAAATCATTGAATTTGTTAATTCAAATGTCATTCCATTTGCATAAACTATGAAATAAAAAAATTAAAATTTGGGCTTCAGGGTACAGATGTTCAGTTAGAGAACTATGTGTATTCAAAATTTGGCAGCTTTAGGTGCAGGCCCGCGCCAAGCCTAATCGGCACGGTCGTGCAAATGTCTAGCGAGCACTTTTATGTAGTAACGGTATTAAAAAAAAATAATTTAAAAAATAATTAAAAAACCAAAAAATAAAAAAATAAAGTTAAACTTTTATCTAAATATGCAAACATTTTGTGCTTTGTTAAAGTCCACACTTAAACATATTTATTGAACATTTATAACATTTATGTTATTAAAAGCCGCCCAACGAGTAAAATGGTTAGCGTTGCTGACTGCCGTGCCGAGGGGCTCTGGTTCGAATCCGGGAGAAGACATGGATGTTTGTAAATGTATAATGTCCATGTGGCATGGGGGCACTCTAAATATTTGAGGTGAAAGCCCTCTCGAAAGGTTAGTGGTAGAAGAACAGGTGTGGGAGATACTCGGACCCCTCCCCCTCAGGTTGTTCTCCATCAAAATTGGTGGCGAAATTGAGCTAATTCAAAGTAAGGTGATGAAGGATGTTGCCAACAACAGGCATATCTTGCGCTCCTTGCCACGAAGATTTTCGTGGGCTTGGGCTGACTATAGGTCAGTCAAGTGAGCATTAGTCAACAGCAACATGTTATAAAAAAGTAACACTGCAAGCGAAGTGAAATAATACACTAAACGCACTGGATACCAAATATATTACTGAACTCTACTTATTACTTTAAAATTCAAAACAAAGTAATATACATATCTAAGAAGTTTGTGCTGAATAAATTGTTGTTCTTAACATAGTTTATGACAAGGTTTAAACTGTGATTACAAAAGGGCACAAAAAATGCTCTAGGGTTTATATCTAGGGATATATCCAAAATTCTTTTCTGCACACCACTATGTTGTTGACAACGCTTAGAGTTTCAACTGACGATGCTATATTTCCTCAAAACGTTTGCAAAACTGCAGTTCTTGCATAAGATCTATACTATGTATATTGCTTTGATTTTTATCAATTAATGCTTTTGCAGTTTTTGACATAAGTTGAGCTGATCTTGTAAATATGTGTGAATGAAAATATGTGACGCCGATGCGTATGCAAGGGTACAGGGGAAGCCATATAGATGCATTCGACAAATTGCTTAGTCTTTATTTTGTGTCTACTGTTGCAATTGTAGTAATTTGTGCAACATTTACCTTTTCTGTGATTTTTTCTGGTGATTGCTTGATGTTATATGGGCAGTTAGTTACATGTTATAATAAACTTGGGTTAGCTTTTTAACAGAAAAGCGAAAATTTCAGCATAATTACTCAATTTTTTTTTTTTTTTTTCTTAAATAAACCATTTGTTTATTAAACTAAAAATTATTATCTTTCGAGAACAAAGGATTGACATACTTATGGAGTACCACTGAATTTAAAATATATCTATTTGAGATTTGAAGTTAAATAAAAATATAAAAGGTATTCTGAAATAAAAAATTGCCCATTTTCCGATTTTTAGCTATACGGGAAACCGAAGGAAAATTCTCAGTTATTTCATTACGTCTTTAATACATACATTAAATATGATTTATTTACTTTAATAAACAAACGAGTACTACAATATCCTTGAATTATTTGGTATTGATGTAATAGTTCATATATTTCCCAAGCAATGGTTTAAGATATACTCACTTTTTCCGAAGTAAGGTAAAATATTTCAAACAGTGACTTTCTGAGTGTTTTCACAAAGCATTTTACACAATAATTCTTATAATAGTTATTTTCTACTTTTATGTTTACTTCCACTTTTTCACTTTTCCTCAGATGTCAGAAGAAAAACAGAAAAAAACTGTCTGAGTATTAGATTGTAATAGATAACAAGAAGGTGAGAGGAAAACTTAATAAACCAGAACTTTAAAACTACTCAGTTTTTCCAAAAACCCAAAGAATGCCCAACCTGATGTTACTCATACTAGTTGTCCATTAACGTCTCAGCTACTACTGAAATTACCAAAAGAACCTAATAATCAGAAAGAGTTAGAAAGTGTTTTCACCTGGGAATTACCTTTAACTAATGCCAGCCTGTCGAAAAAAACAGAGAAAATACTATTGAAATCTACAATTTCTGCAGTAAATACACATTTGCCTGTGCCTGATGATTCCGGGTTATGACCAAGCCCCTTATTATTAGCGTACTACGCAATCAAAATTCTTCTTCAATATGGATCTAAGCAAGCATCAACACTTCTCCGGCAAGTTCTAGCCTTAATAGAAAACTGTTTTGGATGTTACCAAAACTTGGTTTCGAGTTTTCAGTTTCCCAAAAGACAAAAATAGACGTAATTTTTTTTAGATGTACTTTTGTCGAATCTGGCCAAACAATGAAAGAGTTATCCGATTTCTTAGAATGATTACAAAAAAGTAAACTTGTTAATTCGGAATTTCAAATTTAATTAAAAAAGAGATTAAGCATTAGTGCGATGTTATTGAAAGAATTATCTATGCCATTCAGTTCTTAGCGAAATAACACTTAGCCTTCTGTGGT